GAATTGCGTTCTGTTATCAGAGACTATGGTATCTGGTATGCCATATCTCGCAAACAGTTCATGCAAGAAATTCACTGTCACTGAAGATGTTGGATTTTTGCACTTATAAATTTCCGGCCATTTAGTGAAACTATCAACTTCTATAAGATAATGTGATCCATTCATAGGACCTGTAAAATCTGTATGCAGTCTTGACCATGGTGTGTCTATCTTTGGCTAAGGGTCTATATTTCTGATAGTTTTGCTGCCAGAGCACAACCTCTGCAAGCTTTCAATATTTTTTCATTATCTTGGTCCATTCTGGTCCAATACATGAAACTTCTCATCAGAGATTTAATTCTTGAAATACCAGGATGTCTACTATGAAAATCTTTCACTATTCGCTTCTGTACCACACTCGGTATTACAACCCGTTGCCCAAACATTACTACACCATTGCATAGTGAGTAAGTGTTTAAGTTAGGATTTCATCCTTTGTTTCTTTGTTTTAATTGCATTTTAATTTTCACAATTGTCATTTTCTGCTTTTTCTTTTATTTTTTCCAGGTAACTGGTAATTCTCATACTATGTTGCACAAAATGGTTTTTATTTACATTTCACTTTTTAGTTCTGCAATGACTGTGTCCTTAAATAGTCCCGCATTTTTAGGTATTAATCTTGATAATCCATCTGCATGTCTTAATTTTTTAGACAGTTAGTTCTCCATCATAAAATCATAGTTTAATAAGATGGTACCCCAGCATTGTAGTCTATTAGCTGTATGCATAGGTATTCCTTTCTTTGAACCATATATTGTTAATAGAGGACTGTGGTCTGTTTGCAACCTAAAATTTCTTCCATGAATAAATTTATGAAATTTCTTCACAGCAAATATAATTGCTAGAGCCCCTTTTTCAATCTGGCTGTAATTTTTTGCTGGTAGAAGTGAGTGTGAAGTATGAGTGAAGGCTTTTATTTTACGGCCATTATATTTGTGTAAAATCACCACTCCAATACCGTACTCACTAGCATCTGACACCACTACAATTTCTGCTTTTGGATCATAGTGTGCTAATGATAAATCTGACGTAAGTCTTTTTTTTATTTCGTCAAACGCCTTTTGACAGTTATCATTCCAGTTCCACTTTACTCCTTTTTTAAGTAGATCGTTCAGTGGAGCTCTCAAATTATGCATATTATGTACATATATTTGATAGTAATTAGCCAGTCCTAGAAAAGCTTGTAACGTAGTCACGTTTGTTGGTGGAGGCATATTTTTAATTGCACTTGCCCTCAATGGATCTGGTTGACGACCATTTTTATCAATAATTTGACCAAGGTATTTAATTTTCAGCAAAAACAATTTGCATTTTTCTTCACTGAGCTTGAATCCATATACTCTTAATTTTTCTAAAATTGTTTTCACATGCTCAACATGTTGTTATTTAGATATGCTTTTGATTAAAATGTCATCCAGATATGCCACTGCAAAATCACAATCCATGAGCATGGTATCCATAGCTTGCTGAAAAATAGCTGGTGCCACCTTTATACCAAAAGGAAGTCGGTTAAACTTATATCATCCTCTGTGTGTATTTATGGTCATTAAATCCGAACATTCATTTTGAATCTGAATTTGTAAATATGCTTCTGTGAGACCCAGCTTAGAAAATATTCTTCTGCCATTTAACTTCAAAAAAGTTTCCTCTGGACTTGGTAATGGGTTTCTAAACAACTGTTTAATCCTGTCAAGAAATCTGAATTTTATTATTTTTTTTCTTTATATACACTGATGGTGCAGCCCATTTTGAATGATTAATTTTTTTCTATTACACCTATTCTTTCAAGTCTGTCCAACTCTTCATTTACTTGTTCCAATGCTGTGAATTGTGTGCTCTGTTTCAGCCTAAATACTGACATCGAACTTTTTTTTACTTGAAAATCCACCTTGAATTTTGAACATTGAACCAGTTCATTTGAAAGAACATCTGGAAAACATTTTTTTAATTCTTCCTTAAAGTTTTTGCTCTGACTTTTTAAACTGGTCATTTTTCCACTTACATTCTTACAATAAATATTTATCAGCAAATCCCAAAGTTCAAATAGTTCCATCCAGTTAGTACAGAATAAATTTATAGCATTTTTTAATACATAATCTTTAGTTTTTACATGCTTATTACAGAATGAGTCACTGCAAATCATTTCTCAAAAAAAATAACTTCTCACCAGAAACTGAAATTGCAACTTTTTTAATAAAGGCTTTCCAATTTCCTTCCATGTGGTTTCACTAATTATTGAAATCTCACCCCCAGTGTCCAGTTGCATTTTCACACCCACATTATTTATTTTCACATTCACAAATTTCCTTTTGTTTTTGGTGACCATTTTTTCTGTTGCAATGCTGTGTACGAATTTCTTCCTGTGAGAATTTTTTCTTGGTTTGGTTTTGCAGTGGGACTTTATATGTCCTTGTTTATCACACTTGTAATATTCTGCATGTTTAAATGTACAGTCTTTTCCAAGTTGTAATTTACCAGATCTGAAATAAGGATTTATTCTCCTTTTTATACATCTGTCTTTTACTTGTACCAATGCACATTCTTTTTTCTGAATTTCTTCAGCATCGTGTTTCAGACTTAGAATTGTCTGGCAATTGTCCACTATTTCTTGCAGTGTAATATTACTGTTTTTGTTCAATTTTCATTAAAATTTTGCTCGTATTTCAGCATCTTTTTAGCTGAACATATCTGGAGTCATTTTGAATGATAATTAACCTTTGTTTTGAACATATCTGGAGGTTTTTTTAGATTTATGCACGTTCAACGAGCATTAAAACTTTTCACATTCAAGATTTTCATCAGAATATGTCCTATGCTTTCAAACCCGATTTAACCTGATTTTTTTTGGGGGGGGGAGGGGGAATATGTAGTTGCAGTATTTTTCATACTCTATCAGAGCTAATTTACTCAACAACAATCTCATTTTTCTCTCATCTTCCCAGCTGCTGCATTCTTGACTGAATATTTGTTCATATCTTTGAAAATACACAGAAAAAGTTTTCGGAAATTTTATTTTCTTTCAGAAAATAAAACCTGCTGCAACAGTATTTTCACTGTTGCCTGAATTAATAATGAAAAAGAAAGAAAAAAAAAATGCAAATCAGATTCAATTACAAAGAAAAAATATTTATTTCTAACCAGCTAAATAAGGGTTCTTGTAAGAAGTTGTCCCTTTTTGCTGAGAATAAGATAACCTATTCTCTGAGTAACACAACGTAAAAAAGCATAGCAGAAAACAAACTTAAAAATTACAATGCACAGTTTTTTTTTTAAAAAAATAAAGCGTCCCCCTGCTGTGTCAATGATAACAATAAAAAGAGGGGGAAGAGCCTTCGCTCTTCAGTAGACTATCAGTCCATTCAAGGTTCAAAAGGTTTTATCTTTTTTCTTTTCTCACTTGTGTAGACAAGTTTCTTTTTTTGGTGACCAAACTCTCTTCTTTCTCCACTTATTTTCCTCCCATCTGCCAGGAAATTATGCTTTTCTTTTACAGCCGCTAGAAGGTGAAAATTTACTTTAAACACATGGTAAAACACTTTTTGAAAACGCACGTGAAAAATTTTGTGTTTGTTAGATTCCTGCTTCTTCAACTTTTTTCTTCTTCTTCTTCTTTTTAGCTAAAACTCCACTTATGGACTTCTTTTCAAACGTTCTTTTTTTTTTGGGGCTTCTTCAAGAGGTATTTTTCAAAACTTTCTCAGAAGGGAAATTTGCCCTCAACATTTTTTTTACCCATACATCCTTCACTTATGGGACTGAATGCCTGCCTTTTCAGCAGGGATACGAAAAAAAAACCTCTTCTCTCTAAGCTATCTCTTTTCCGACTGCTGCTTAGGTTTTATCCCAGTTCTCCCTTCCCCTACAAAGGGGGGGGGGCAGTTCACCTTTGAACCGTCCAATCACAGTCCATTAAAAAAAAAATATCAGCAGGTTCTTAAGGCTAGTAACACAGTGAGTGTGTTTTGTTCTCCCTTGACCTAAAAATTTTCAAAAAGTCAGTACCTTATCAGGATTGTATACAAATTTTGATCTGGTATTTTGAACCGCGTCTGGGGTAAGAGAATTTTTTTCCTGAAGCAACAAGTATTTTTTTTCTGCACTTGTTTTCTCAGTATGAGTTTCCAAAATCCTTGTAATTCATTACAACTTACATGAGTTCCTGAAACCTCATTACTGTTATATGTTGTAAGAGTTACAAATTCTCATCAGAACAGTTATAAATCGCCTGAGTTTCAAATCCCTTAATGCCTGCTTCATGGCGATTATAATATAAGTAATGTTTTGGAAGCTTTCTGTGACACTTGTAGTAATTAGTTTGAAGACTTGACTCCAAATGTCTTCTTCTTTTACCTGGAGCTATTTATGGTTATGGACTAGTTCATATCATCACTTGGGGTGTACTATTTACTCCACAACACTAGTATATAGCTTAAATAGCCAGATAGACTGAACTCTCTGGTCATGTGTGGCAGCCACTCTATTATCTTTTTCAAGAAATCATGGCTTACAGAGAGATGGTTGGTAGGACTTAATGTATAGTGACTCCGAAGTGATAATCGGTATTAGCCTTACTCAAAACTGAGAATGCGTCCAGGCTATAAGGCTGAGTTCACTGCTGGTTTGTAATCAAATGATCAGTTATTGCTGAACCTTATACATTAAAAAACCTATGTAAATTGTCCAGCTTTTCCTTGTAAATATTGGCTCGTACATGTTAGTTGATGTGTGCCTCCAACCTTTGATCTGTTCTAATAATATGACCAAATTTTAATGATGCCTGTTTTCCTGCTTAGAAAGCTCCAAAGGATAAGCTTTTAAAATTCAAATTTCATTAGAATAGAGACTTTTTTTTTTATTATTTCTGATCCATGCTTCTTACTCAATGTAAGAATAATCTGACCATTGTGATAAAAAAAACAACAAAAATATTATTTTCTAAAATGCTTCTAGCTTATGGCTACATCTTGTTGAAACACTAGTTCCCATATGATCACCAAAGTTAAACACTATTGAGCCTAGTTAGTCCCTAGATGGGTGATTGCTTCTGAAAACCAGGTGCTGTAAGCTTGGATGTGCAGAAGGTGTAATTAATTATGGCTTGGAATTGTTAATCAGAGAGCCAAGTTCCAATTCCAGTTGGATTCATTATATTCACTTACCTGGAAATACCCTTAGGAAAGGTATGAATCCACCTCTTCTTCCCCCCTACTATGGGTTAATTAGTAAGACTTGTATCACTAAATCATTGTTATCTCATAAAAAAATTCTTGCAGTCTAAATATTCCTAACTTTAAATAACCTGCAAAATTAATCAGCTGTAGAAAGCAAATCAATCAATCCAAAATTATTCTGTTTTTGTCATTAGATAGGATTAAAATAAACAATATTTTCAGTATAGTAAATTTGTTGTGTCATAAAATATTGGGTAGCCTTGACATTATCTGACTGTTGATACATATACTCACCCTGTTGTTTATAATGAAGAAAAAATAAAATGGCATGAGTGCAGTCAGAAGAATGAAAATGAAGTTTTATTTTCTAAAATACAAAATATGCCAATAAAATATAAAGTTGACCCTATAAAGGAAACTAGAGAATGTTGTAAAAGGTTGTCTCTACTCACAAGTCAGGAGCACATTTTCCTCCCTGTCATCTGATGCTCTGTAAAAATGAGGGCTCTGCTGATTGGGCATTAAGGGTCACATGACAAGCAAAACATGGTGCATACTAATTGCGGAAGAAAGTTACGTAAGTTTTTTATTTTAAGAAAGTTAAAAATGTAACTCAAATATAAAAAAGGATTTATGCAACTGATGGAGAAGGTATTATGAACGGGTGAATGGTGAAGTTTCAGGATGTTCCATAAGTAAAGTTGATATTTTTAGTTGATGCTGACCAAATAAAGATATTACTTGAGAATAATCAACATTATACAACATATAGGATGTAGAAATCATGCTTAAAATATTCAAATTGACTTCTAAAAATCATTTGTACCAGCTTATGTTAACTGCTTAAATTGGAAGCTTTAGCATAAATGGAAAGATACACAAAAACTGAACTGTATTCCAACATGCCAGTTACAACTTAAGCTTAATACAAATGTACTGTTTTTGAAACAAATTGTGTTTGACAACATAGACTTAAAGGTTAAAGGTCAAAATTGGGAGGACACTTCAAGTTCTTGAATTCCCAGGTAAAAAAAATTTTTTAATATTATTTACATTTCGACTTGTCAGCAAAAGGAACATCCCAAGATATGAACTACAAATTTGAGAAATCAAAATCAATCAAGTAAAAAACATAAATATCTAGGAAATGTTTTAACAAAGGACAGAAAATGTAACACCAAAATCCAAAGGTGCAAAAGAATAGCAAAAGATACATTCTAAAAGCTAAGCAAAGTATTAAGAAACAAGAAAATTTCATTAGAAACAAAGAAAAGATTACTGAACTGTTATAATATATCAGTTCTCTTATATGGCAGTGAATGCAGGATACTTCACAGATGAAGAAGAGACTTAAGAAAGCAGAAATGTGGTCTACAGAAGGATGCTGAGAATACTATGGATGGATTGTGTAAGCAATAAGGAAAATGGAAACAAAAAGGACATCTACCCTCGGAAGTAGAAAGAAGCAATAGAAATTTATGGGATACATAATAAGGAAGCTTTAGAGAAAATAGAAATGAAAAGGACATTTAAAACTTAGAATCAGAGAGACAATTACAATTTCTAGGGTACATAATGAGGAAGAAGGGCTTGGAAAATTTGACACTCACAAGACTTATCAAAGGCAAAAGGGACAGGAGAATAGCTGTTCACCTATTAGATGAATTTATGTAACTGGATATCAGAATGGGGAGTGGGAGGGATGGTAAAAAACAAACATTATTAAGAGCTACAAAAGATAAGAAGTCATGGAGAGTAATGATCACCCACATCCCGAAAAGACGCAGCACATAGAAGAATGGTGTCATCTTTGTTGTTATTTCAACATTTAGCCTCTGGCTTTCTTCAAGTTTCTGTTGATCCAGGTAACCATCAGAAAATTTTGAACTAAACCCTTTATTTAATATACAAGGGTAGACAATTCTTAATTCACAGTTCATATCTAGGTATATTCCATTCTTTTTTAGTACTGCTCTGTTGTTGGTAGTGTTGTTTCCATTGAGTCTGAATCTGTAGTACCCAGCCCAGAAATTGAACTTGGAATTATTATGCCACCAAAATTCATAAACCAATGCTTTAATCCTGTATGCTCTGAATGTAAATAATGATAATTCCTCAACGCAGAAATTCAGAAAGGAATTTAAGTTAAACTCAAATGGTGTATGAGTTGTTTGGCTTGAAAACTTAGTTGTTGTGATGAAAAAAGTAGGAAACAAAAGATTCAGTGTTTAAGAGCAGCTGGAGTGAAGAGATGCTGTGTGTGAATATTTATACAATGTGTTTAAGAGGAATTAACTATTGTATTTTGTGCTCAGATGCCTTTTCTCCTGCTTCTCTTTGCTAGTCTGCTTCTTTTTTGTTTGCAGTTGGTGGGGGTGGGGTTTACCTAGTTGTCAACTGTCATCTGTAAAGGTCATGGGGTTAGAGGTCAGTTCAATAGGCAATAAATTTTCCTTGAACTCTAGCCTAAATCTTCCTCTGACAGTTTGGGGGATCATCAGCATTTTTTTTTAGATACATCCCTCAGTAAGGAGTGAAAAATGGTTGCTAATATTTCAAAGCTGAATTACTAAGCCTTTAATGTTTAACTTTATTTTTCATAATCCTAAATATTTATTTAATTTAAACCAAAATATATCATTGAATTTAAAATTGCCTGAGTATAGGAGGGAGTGCTGAAAAGTTCACAGTCTGATCAGAAGCCTTCAAAAAAGATTTTCTGATGTCTGGTCATTTGGTTAGATTTTGAGAAAAGGGTTGGGTCAATAGCTTTCCAGCACCTCCTTATATGGAGGTTGTTTGTGCTTGCTTAGCACTAAGTCATGTCCTGTAGACACCACTGAAGAATGTGAGGCTACATTTCTCAACATGCAAGATATTGCTGCTGTGGTTTTCATAGCAAATAGGTTTGGACTTGGTTTGTTTATTTTGTTTTACGGCATATAAACTTTAATGGGTTATTTAATGCCAACAACATTTTTAGGATAGATTCATATGAATAAAATATGTATTCTTTGATTTAGATTGGTTTGGTTTATTTTGTTTTACGGCATATCAACCTCAGTGGGTTTTTTAATGCCGACAACATTTTTTATTATTGGTAATATTTTGTTTTGTCAAAAATCTGTTTCTGGTAATATTTTTCCTTCAAAATTATATTGTTCATAATAATTTTTTTCAAACAGTATTGCTGGTAATAGTTAACTATTTGCCCATATCTGGGACCCTAACAGGTGCTACCACCCTGGGTTAGGGTGGACCTGGGAATACCAGCAATTAAGAGGTGATTCCATGCTCCTCAAAACCTGATCAGAGGCTTTGCTGCTGGATGTAGTTTATTGTCTTACCTAGGACGCAGATGTAATTTAATGTCTTACCCAGGACACATAGCAAATAGGCTTTTACTGGATGGAGTTGTTAGCCTTATACCAAAACAGTTTTGAATTCAGAATTGTCCTTCTCTAAGATTGGTTCCCAACCAAGGCTGCAGAGCTCTGTCTGCCCTATTAATTAACCCATAGTTTGGACTTATCATTAAAGCTCTTGGGAAATCCATTTATATCTGTGCTAGATATTTTAACAAAAATGTTTCCTCACTGGTATCTTACAATCCTTGATAGAGATATTGGTGTATGAACAGTTGGGTAAACTTTACTCCTGTAACTAAACTGACATTTAGTAAAATTAGGCCATTGTTAATGTTGACAGGGACCAGAGATCAGAAATATAATGATTGATTTATATATATTTATTTATTACGCTCAGTTTAGTATGGAACAGGGCCAAAAGCATTGAGCATTCAGTGAAAATTGAAGTCTTAGTTGTCATAATAGTCTGCAGATTAATTTGCTAACCACTTCCTGATACTGATGTACTTTTGTAGCAACTTCGTTTACACTTTGAAGAAATAAAATGAAAAATATTGTTTGTTATAAACACACAGGATTGAAACAGAAAATAACACTCTCTCTCTCTCTCTCTGTCTCTCTGTCTCTCTCTCTCTCTGTCTTTTTAGAGCATGGACAATTGTGACTCTTCATAATTTTCTGTTTTTTACAACTCTAATTTTTTATCTTACCAATGACTGACTCATTGCAACTTCTTGGGCTAATGTTTTCTGTTGATATGAAGTTAAAAGAGTATATTGAAGCAATTGCTAAGTTTGCAGCTAGGAAAGTTGATACACTGTTGAGCTAGATAATTTTACTCAACAGAATCTATCTTGTCTGTTTATAATATTACCATTCATCTTTGCTGTGAATATTGCTGCCATATCTGGTCTGGGGCTCTTGCTATATATTTAGAGATTGTTGATGAAATCCAAAGAAGAATTTGCAATGTTATTGGCCCTGATCTGGGATCTCAGCTTTAGTTACTTTCCCACCACCATAATGTAGCTTTCCTGTGACTTTTCTATAAATACTTTCATGACAATTGTTGTGATGAAGTTTCCTCAATGGTACCGAGACTTTAGAAATTTAAGTGCAGTACTAGAATGGTGACAAGTTCTCATCCTTTTACAGTTGAAATAGCTAGATGTAACCATAAGTTCTATGCTTCCAGCTTCTTGCGTTCCAGTCAAATTTGATCTTCAAAAATTTAAATGCAATGTCAATTGTTATCTTCTGTCTTCTTAATTTTTGTTCTTTTATTGTCGTCTCTCCTTAATAATATATTTTTCTCATACTCTCTAACATTCAGTAATTCTTCGTGTCTTAGTGGCTTTATTGCCTTGTGTGGGATGAAATGATTACAAAAACATTCTTGCTCTTTTACAGCCCTTCTTTGGTACATGTTCTATCCATTTACTCAAACTTACTGTAAGATCACTTACTGTTTTCTACTGCTTCTCATGTTTTCAATATGCCTAGTGAGTGTTAAATTCTTCATGCCT